TAGGCATTTAATACTCATTGATTGATTGACTGATTGACAGGTATTGTGTCAGGCATCAGGACTCAACTCTCACCGGGCGGCTTCTGTACCATGTGCAGCAGCCACACCCTGGTAAGCTCTTGGCAGATAGGCTAAAGCAGGTTGAGAGTAACCAATGGGCATGTGAAGACATCCCCCCTGGAATGGACAGATGAGAATTTGTTCCAACGGCCATGCAAGTGGCGAAAGCAGGTGCCTTGGAGTGCTTGGAGCTTGGTCAGACATTGACAATGTCAAGGTCATCCACTGTATCCCGAGCCATCACCACTCATCCTGATTTTTGCTTTGTCACTGGACTTTGATATCTCTGGAAGAGTGAGGCTGACAATTTTGTGCAACTCTGCGTCACTTAAATCTGGTTCCCTCACAGGTCAAGACATCACCTTGTGATGTCATTGGTCCTCTTCCAAAACAAAACATCATTCAGGCATCCTGCTAGGGCTGGGAATATAAAGGCAGAAATTAAAAATCCCTAGCCTCAAAGACTGTACATATCGCCCCAGGCTTAAAGAAAGGGCTGATTTCATTTCTATGATAATATATGGATGTATTCATCTGTATTAACCAGATTACAGGTAGCCCCTGATATCAGACATTTGCCAAGCAATTTTTTTTTAATTTCAAGAATTAGGTAATTAATTTGCTATACATTCCCTTAAGATTTATAGTTGCAGAATTATGAATTTCTCATTTCATCAAGTCTGTAAGATTGAAATTCCTTTATCAGGCCCAGAAGTTATGAGGACCCTAGAGTCTATAGAAATTCGGAGTTTGTTGAGAAGAGTTTCATTTAATGTTTAATTTCCAGAGAATGCATATAATTTAAGTGGTCACAAATGTCTTTTGCATCTCCAGCAATTAGCCCAGTGCCTGGTACATGGTAGGTACTTGATAAATGCAACATCTAGCACAATGCCTAGTACGTAGTAGGCACTTAAATGTTGGTTGACTTCTGCCCTTTCTCTCCACCCCCACTTCCTATTTTTGAGTAGTCTCCTGGGAATGGGTCAGTCCTTTATCCTCAGTCCTTGGACTAAGATGATTCACCTCAAAAATCTCTTATCTGGTCGGGGTATGCAAGGGTGGGATAAACAGAAAAAGGTAATCTGAATTCAGTACCAATATTCTGAATAGTCCTACGCTCTGGTTTACATAACACCTCAATGACTTCCCAGTATTTTGTTAAAGACATCCAGACGGGCTTGCTCAATTGATTTAAGGTTTGCATCTAGAAGAAGCTTCTAACTTTTTCTCTCAATTTTAGCAAGTAACCCATTTAAACCATTCTACAGTAGCTCCAGGATAAGGTGTATATCCATATATGTCCATATGTAATATAGATAGATAGATCAATCAACCACCCGATAGATGTACTTGAAAGGTTACATGAGTTGCATGTCCACACAAGGTTAAGAGAATGAGAGCAAGGCCCCTCAGCAGCTGGGTGGGCCGCATGGGACTAATGTACTGAAGGAGGACAGTGAGTCAATGGGCGGGCATGGCAAATGGCACTGTTGATCAGCACTGGGAGAGGGAGTTTTTCACATCAGTAAATTCATAGATTTATCGAAGTATCAAATACTTGAAAATTATGATGTGGAAATCACCTGTCAAAAGTACTCTGAACTAGTTCCTTGGACTCAAATCATCATCCCATCCACAGGTTTTCACCCATGAATTGTGGTACCTCATAACTGTTGAAAAACACACACAGAGAGAATACGTCCAGTCAGTTGTTTTTATCAGTCCTGTCTGACTCTTCTTGACCCCACTGGAGCTTTTCTTGGCAAAGATACTGGAGTAGTTTGCCATTTCCTTCTCCAGCTCATTTTACAGAGAGAATATGTATATATGTATAGACATACACAATATACATACAGGATATATGTTTATGTATAATATATACATACACATGAATATATAGACACATTTTTATATGTGTGTGTATTCACACACATACACACACATACTCTCATGCTGTGCCCCCTCAACATTCTTCTAATGATTGTAACTAAGTGGTGCGGTGGATAGGGCCCTGGACATAGAATCAGGAAGACCTGAGTTGAAATCTGCTCACAGACACTTAGCAGATATGTGACTTTGGACAAGTCACCTAACCTCTGTCTACCCCAGTTTCCTCAAATGTAAAATGGGGATCATAATAACAGCTATTTCCCAGGGTTGTTGTGAGGATCATAGGAGATAATCTATCTTTGGTGACCACCTGTCACCCAACTCTCACCTGTGGCTCCAAGAAGCTATAGCATGAATAGTGGCCACACCCAGTAAAGCCATGCTAAATGAGATTGAGGGTAATTACAGGTGAATTAGGGCAATGTCTACCCCAAACACGTGAGGACTTCATCAGAATGGGCAGATGAGAACAATTTGTTCCGATGGCCATGAAGGCTCCTGAATCAGGCCACTGTGAAATGCTTAGAACTTGGTCAGACATCAAAGA